CTAATGCTAAACAACTCATGGGCGCGCGCCAACGCCTATCAAAAGAAGGAAAAGAGAGTAATATCGACATTGAGAAGTCCAACCCCACAGCACATCAGCAAATTCCTTGCTTTAGTCCACCTGATCCACTTGAAGTTACCACTCTGTGCTCAAAATCGCAACAGCTAAGTCGATCCTTCTCAACACTGAGGCTTACTCAAAAATGGCCCCTTCTTATACCACCGTCACTGATGTTAGATGTGATTGGCTCTAGCAGACGGTGTATAGTGCGTGTAGACGGATTATTTAGGGTCGTCTACCACTGAGTCCGATCCTCCCCCTCCATCGGCCGATCGTTTTAACACAGCTTTGCCATCACGAGAAGGCGAGTGAGGGAGAAGTTCGCGAGGAAGGTGCCGCATGACCTTTTTACACCATAAACTAATTCACACCGCGGACTTGGGCTTATAAATCTTCATCTAATAGGGGAGATTAGGCCGATTTACATAATTAATTTTGACCTAGTTGTGAAAACCTAGACGGCCTCGGTAAGATTCGACCCCACAAAAACTCACCTACCATGGCCGTGGGAATGTCGTTGTCATCGGCTCGCTTTGAACTCACAGGTAGCAGTCCAATTTACCGTAATTAGAGCATTGGGGATGGTCTTGCCTTTTGTCTTTCTATTTTAAAGTAAAAAGCGCAAAAGGCGCAAAGGAAGAATTTTTTATTCAGCAGTAATTGATCGGCGTCGCTACATAGACAACGAAATATAAGATCATTAATTCGGGAATTCTGCAGACAAAGACAATCTCTTCTCATCAACAACGGAACCGCCACAAATGGAAAGGCCGTGAAAAGAGTTTAAAAAACACCCTGTCCTGATGACGGTGTTGTTGTACCGACATCAGATTTTGTTTTCCGATATTCTTAACACGATTTTGCCGTTCTGTAAGCAAGCTTTTTGCGATAAACTCAATTCCGATGGTGAAGTTCTGTTTTGTTTCCACCCGTGTTATAGATCATGAGGAACTTCATAGAAGAATCTAAAAATGTGTCGGTCCGTCTAGTAAAGGCACCAAAAAGACTCTTTACTGTGCCTTTTTAAATCTCCGCTCGTAGAGGGTTTCCGGGAAAATCCGAAAAACAACCGACTACTCCGCACACTTTCTTTGAATCAAATTCAGCAACCGATTGAGTAAAAAACTTATTCTTCCATACAACATCAGTGATTATTTTAGCTAGGCATCAAACCGATACTCATATATTATGACCCCCGAATGGGGGTGCTTATTCCTCTCTCTCTCTTGCTTCCTCGTTGTAATCTCCCCTCTCTCCTTTCCGAAACCGACCAGGCCGCTTCATCGCCCACAAAGGACCTAGGATGCCAGTTCTACTTTTCTGTTAGCGCCCAGATTTTGACTCTATATGCAGAGGTCCTGGTCTGTAAATACTTCTTTGAAAACAATTTCGGTAAGGATATGGTATGTAATACCCTGGGTGGTAGGTGTGTTTTATAACGGTTTGCCTGGCCATAGGTCACGAAAGGGACATGCGAAAAGCAGGTTCTGACCTCCAATAACGCTATCAATATTAAAGTTGACCACTTTGGGCTGGGAGCTAGGGATTGGACAACGGCGAAAAAATGGTGTTAAGTGGGCTATTCTTAGGAGTAGGGTTTCCAGGCTTGGGCAAGAGTTTGGACTTGACATGGAAGCTAGGGAAAGACTTTTAGGGTTTTGCCTAAGGTCACTGTTACGTCCGACTTTTCCTCGCAGGTAAGAGATTTCCCCACTGAAGGCATGGCAATGGTTGGCGTTAGGTTTGTTGCTAACTACGGTCTCGCCAAGGGGTTGCATACCATACCCCACCGCAATTTCCAATTATTCCCTTAGTAGAAAAGTGTGCTGTTTCAGCCCTCCTCACATTGTGTGCGAAAGATTATCGGTGCATCCTCGTTTGAAGCATCACATCAGAGCTTTATCGCCCACCATTTCATTTTTGTTGACCGGGTCCAGCTTATATTGTCAGAAGCTTCAGAGCGCAAACGCTCTTCGAAATAGCGGAGTTGGTGTACACTTGCGGAAACTCTGTTAGTCTCAGACAAGGCTTCTTTTACAGTAGGTGGGCTAACTCATTAAATGTCAACCGAAATTCCCAAATGCGTTTTCGTTTCGAAAAGACTAATTTGGTAGGTTGGTAAAACTAGTCAGCCTGCAACATAATTCTATAATATTTCAGCTACCGCAGGATGTCGGATTTCGAAAGAACTTCCTTCCGGACGCATGCAAAAACTATGCTCTGCAAAAATTACTGCTTAAGTAACATGACTTTTTCTCACTGATTTTCGATGCCCTAAAAGTCCAATTATATTTTATGGAAAACATTCATTAAAAAAATATTTTTTTCTCTTGCTCATTCGGTAGATAATTACGTCTTCTTTTAATTTTATATTCGAAGGAAGGACATAATTCAGTTTTAAAAAACATTTCCAATTCCCGAATAATTTTGTACCCGCTCTACCGTCACACTGGGATTCCGGGTTTCCAAACTACAAGGGTAAGGAAAATCACACAATTCCCTACTGTAATAAAGGTGGAACATATAGCGTTCATAAAACTCAGCAGTGGATTTTATCCATATTGTTAACTTTTCAAGCCACATTGGTAAATGCAGCGATATGACGATTTACAAACGGTCATTTCACGGTATTTAAAAGTTCGACAATTAGAAACAGACGAGGCTTTTTTAATCTGCACTTGGAAATGGACATGTAAATATAGATTGCCTTCAGGCGGTCAGAGCGCATGTTTTCACGGCGCGTTTAGAAGCAGAAATTTATCAGATGCCCACAGTAGGATACAAGAACTCTTTCGTAATTGCGTCCAAGACTTGAGAGAAGACTGCATTCGTGTAGAGGGGTCGTCCAGCTTGTTCAAATACTCGACCCACTCACATCACCAGCGGACGAGTCGGACAAGCCATCAGTGTATGAGAGAGGGAACAGGGGGAGCAGAGACTGTGGAATCCATCCTCATAGTCAATCAGCGTATTCCTCAGTATGCTAAGTATGGCGCGCTTGGACCTACCAAGACGTGGAATCAGCCGTGGCTTAGGTGGTTGCTTTCCGACAACTTGGCTATTAAAGAAACTCAAGGTCAGGTCGATATGGCTCCCTCACAGCGAGAGCCTTAGGATGCTGTCAGCTGGATCAGTACCAGTGTCATAAAAAGCAGCATTGAATGAGCTCGCGTGTAGTCCGCGCAGACGACCCGCCTAAATTGACCAATCACTAAGCTTGCGCTCACTGCTAACCGTCTTGACTTAGTCATATTACCAATGGGAGATGCAGCGAGTTAAGAAAATGCATTGAAAGTCCCCTCCATCGTGAATAACTGCACGCGGACTTCGCCCTGTGTCTAACTCATGGGGCACGCCGTGAGCCTTCAGTTCCAAGGCAGATGAACTCTCAACATCTAGAATACCAGTTGCCAATCATAAGTTTGCCTACGATATATTCCAATCAAAACGACTGATTTATCTGGCAACGGCATCAATTAAAATCTTCTATTATTATGATCATCATTTACGTAATGGTGGGGTCAAACAAAAAAATTTTTCAGGTTAGCAAACGTAAGAAATTCCAAAATCTGCGAAATGTGTCTAGCTCAGCGAATCGGACGAATTGCATGGCTGACTTTTCGGAGGGCTTGACCGGCTCAAAGCGTTTTGTGCAAAAATCGACCAAAATTTTAAATAAACGGCTGAATTCGTTGGCTCTGGGTTGATCGATTTTTTTCCTCTTTTGCTGTCGTGGCGTTATGGCCTTCTGCGTTGTGTGGCATCACCCCAGTGAAAGTTGGTTGCAAAATAGCCGACCAAAGAGGTGAAAGACAATAACTTAATGACTCCTCTCGGTCAATGAATGTCCAAGCCATTTCATCAAACAATGCAAGCACAGAGCAAACAGACGACAGCCGAAAAAAAACAGCAACCTGAAGTCTGGAGGGCTACGCATTTCATTAAAGGAGCCTCCGAGGCGGTTTCACGACTGTTACAACTCCTCAGAGTAGGCATTATCCATCGCCTCCAAACAACAGTTTGTGCAGTTTTGTGCAACTCAATGACACACTGCTCGCCGGCGAAACCTCGGCAGTTGTCTACAAAATATGCTGTAACGACGGAGACTGCAACTACGTTGGAAAAACCGGGCGGAGCTTGCAGACCCGCCTACATAAGCACAAACTGACAACTCGGATACTAGACCCGAACTTACAGCTTGAAACTCACATCGGAAAAACTGCCCACACTTTTGACTTTCAAAGAGCAATCATCTTAAGCCTGGGCACCTCAAGGACAGAACATTTGATACTCCAACAACAGGTATCTAGACTTTTCAGCGGCCCATAAAAACCTGCATCATTACGTGCGACACGACCAGGACAAGACGGTCACACGGAGCATATAAACGATGAGCAAACACGCCCCCTCGACTAATTCACCCGAAAGGGAAGCAGAGATACAACCGGACCCACTGCGGTAACAATAAACAGGGCAGGAGGTCGCCAAGGATCAAAAACAGTGGCCAGAAGGCCCAAGCAATGAAGGAGAAAAAAATTGATTAGCCCAAACTCAACTTTTTTTGCCGCTGATTTAAAATTCTAGTCGATTTTTGCACAAAACGCTTTGATAATGGATAGCCGGTCAATCTCTCCGAAATATCATCGATGCTATTCCTCTCATCCAACATAAACCGATGTTTTGACGCCGTTACGTTGACGACACGTTCGTCATCGTAAAGAAGGACATGCTGCATTAGCATTCTACCTGCTGACAAGGGACGATCAACCGTCGTGATGAATAGAGAAGACTGTAATGAAAAAGCTAAAGCCCTTCTTGATGACAGAGAATTTTACAGACCAGCACAGAAGTCACAAGCCAAAGCAGTGGCAGATCGGCTGAGTAAACGGCTTAGAGAATACCGACATAAAAATGTGATCACGCAGAATGAATGGCGCCAAATGAGGACAACTGACACCGCTCTAGCCCGATTCCATGGTCTGCCAAAAATCCATAAAGCAAATGTCGCACTTCGGCCCATCGTTGCCCTAAAAGGCAGCCCCACCTACAATTTGGCAAAGTGGATGTTCTCAAAACTGAAGTCCCTCCAAGGCAATTCGACTACCTCAGTTCGATCAGCCTCTCAATTCCTCATAGACCTCCGAGGTCGGAGAATTCAATCGGACGAAATCATGGTCTCCTTCGATGTGACGTCGTTATTCACATCCATCCCACCAAACTTGGCCCGCGAAGTCTTGCGCAAGAGACTTGAAGAGGCGTACGATGAGACTCAGTATGCCCTCAAAATTGAACACCTCATGAGGCTGTTTGAATTCTGCCAACAAACTTTCTTCACTTTTGCGGGAGAGACCTATGAACAAATCAAGGGAACCCTAATGGGCTCACCGGTCTCCGGTTTGGTGGCAGAACTGGTCCTACAGGAGTTAGAAAAGATTGCCTTCCTCCAACATGAACCGGTGTTTTGGCGACGTTACGTTGACGACACGTTCGTCATCGTAAAGAAGAACATGCTGCAACATTTCCACAGCCTGATCAACGCAGTCTTCCCTGATATAAAATTCACGTGGGAAGAAAAACAGGAACAGCAGTTACCCTTCGTGGACGTGTTTTTCAGACGAAACCTTAACGGTGAACTTGAAATGACGGTTTATAGGAAGTCAACGAACACCACACAGTTTCTCGGTTTTCACAGCAACTATCCGGTGGCTCACAAACGAAGCTGTGTGAAGACGCTCTTCAAACGCATCCAAACTTATTGCAGCAAACCAGAGGACAGAACACGTGAGGCCCGTTATCTCCGCGACCATTTTGTGCAAAATGGCAATCCTAGGGCATTCATAGGTTGTTGCCTACGCGGTCACCACCAGAGAACTCGAACATCAACACCACCGACGATAAAGCATTCTCTGGCATACACCAAGGCCGTTTCAGAAGCGACTGAGCACATTGCTGCGGAGTTAGGTGTTGGAATTGCACACCGCCCCAAAGCCGCCATGCGCAAAAGGGTCATGAAAATCAAAGACCGGCTAAAGCCTGAAGAGCAGTCTGGAGTAATGTATCGCATTCCCTGTCAAAACTGTCCTTTCAACTACACAGGACAGACTGGACGCATGCTCGGATCGCGCATACACGAACATAAGCTAGCTGTGCGACGAGGCGACGCATGATCACAAGTGGCCGCCCACACCTACGAAATTGGTCACGAATTTAAATTCGCAGCCACCAAAATAGTCGCCCACGCCAAAAACAAAGCAGGCCGAGAATTGATTGAAGCCTGGGCCTCGGATGAGACCACGGTCAATCGATTTATCGATCAGGTGTCGGCGTACAGAACCCTGCGTAGTCACCTCCAGTCTTGCGCCGTCGATCGATCATTGGTCTACATGTCTTATAGCTGCCGTTTGTTCTGTTGTTGCCACTTGCTCTGACGATGGACTCCTATACGAGTCTGAAAGCTCAGGACAATAAACAAAGTGTTCCGGTGCTCAAATCTTCCTCTTCACTTATTCCTCTTATCCTCTGAGCCCTGTAAATTTCTCTTAAAGATTTTTTACTCTTGTCACTCCATACTGTTTACAGTTTACTGAGCTCGAATACTGAAATTTTTAACAAGTAATATAGGTATGGAGAAACGTTAGATTAAAGAACTTGCTTAGAGTCCAAATTTGGACAAATATTCGTAAACGTAACATGCTGGTGTTTGTTTTTTTGGCGACTCTACCAGCCAGACGGATTGACTGAGGTAAAAGAAACAAAATTTGAATGCCATTCCACGGTGAATGGTGTTAGGAACCACTTTTGACTTTCCAGCTCCACAGTGGACTGGACGAAGTTGAGTATAACATTTAATCTCTTAATTTTTAAGGCAACTTCTACTAGGTATTTACCTGCTGATGTCTCCGTACTGTAGACTGGTAGAGGATAATTGTCTTCAGGAGTTTGTTTGTCTGAAGTAGGCGTTTCCACCAACCAATCATATCACCGGCAGCTTCTAAGGATCCATCAGAAGGGGAACCGTCACATCTGGCCAGTGCCAGGCGAAAGGCAGGTAGCTGTGTCTGACTGAAATAGTCCGTAGTCTGGCAAACCCATGCCTTACCCTCATCCAGCTCAATGCGTACTTCTGTCAGCTCCAAGAAGACAGACTTGAAGGCTTTGTATTGTTCAATTTCCCTCAGAAATACCGCTGTCTCAGTCATCAGAAGTAGGTGCGTCTCGTGAAATGAACGACGACAGCTGTTCAAACTCTCTGTGGCCAGTTTCTTGATGCGTCGCAAAAACGTCTGCTTTTGGCTGACCTCCTCCGGAAGTACACAGGGCTCGTGCAGCCTCTCCAAAGTCATTGTCCGCCGAAGTCTGGCTCTTTCCTGCCCAACGATGTTTGTCAGTGTTCCTAAACTCAGAGTACGTCTGCCACGCCATCTGCCTATCCAACGGATGTTTTCATTAAACTCTGCGTCCTCAAAGGACTCCTTGGCCGTCTGACTGACGAGAAGCGGAGCCGGATGCCTCGTCTCGGGGGCAACTTTTGTACAGAAGGGACAATCGGTAAAGGTCGTCTCTTTGCCTACTTGGTTATGAATCTCATTTTCGATCAGGCGAAATTTGCTGGAGATAATTCGTATACTCTCCAGGTTATCGTTTTGCAATTCGCCAAAAGTGAGTTCAGTCATGCGAGTGAGCGCTTGTAGATACTGCCGTTGTTCCTGTAAAATAAAGGATCGGGAAAACGTACTTTAAAACAGAAAGATTTAGTAGAGGACACTTAAGATATAGCTGTGCGCATGCGTTATGCAGGCTGTATAAGAGGTATTTGGTCGTGCAAAATTATAGATGGGTTTTCCAAAAAAACTGTTATCCAACAGAACCTTAATTCTCGATCATCGTAGCTCTTCGAGAAAGGAGACTTTATGTAAAGTCCCTCTAGGGCTTTTCTTAGACGGGTGAGGATGTCGAACGGAATCAGGTATAGGCATATAAAACTTATTTACAGTTTAATAACAGTTCAATCGTCACAAGCAACGACCTTTACCGTGTGCTCCCAGAACGGGGCGCATCAGCAGTAACTTACAGTAGGTGGGCTAACTCATGAACTGTCAACCGAAATTCCAAAAAGCGTTTTCGTTTCAAAAAGATTGATTAAGTATGGTTGTAAAGCTAACGAGTCTCTAGTACAATTCTATAACAATTCAATTACCTGAAGATGCCGGCTATTGAAATAACTTCTTTCCGGCTGCATGCGAAAACTGCACTCTGTCGGTGATTTTCGATGCCCCTTAAAGTCCAGTTATATTTCATGGAAAGCATGCCTAAAAATATTCATTATTTCGCTCATGTGGTAGAAAATTACGTCTTCCTTCAATTTTGTACTCGATGGAGGAAAATTATTCGGTTTTAAAAAAGTTTCTAGTTGTGAGACTTTTAAATACCGTGAAATGGCCGTTCGCAAAACGTCATTTATCGGCATTTAACAATGTGGCTTGTAAGATTTACAATATAGATCAAATCCAATGCTAAATTCTATGAACCCCGTATGGTCTCATCTTAACACCTTAAAGAAATTTGTGGTTTTCCGTACCCGGAAATACATGGCTTGTAGTCTGGAAACCCTGAATGCAAGTGTAACGGCAGAGCGGGTTAAAAAATTTTTCGGGAATTAGAAATTTTTTGAGAACCGAAAAGTAGCCTTCATTCGAGTATAAAATTAGAAGCAGACGTAATTTTCTACCGAAAGAGCGGAAGAATGAATATCTTTTATCCATGTTTTCCACGAAATACAATTGGAATTTTAGGGCCATCGAAAATCAATTAGAAAAATGCATGCCTCTTAAGTAGTCATTTTTTACACAGTACGGTTTTTGTATGCAGCCGCAAGGAAGTTTATTCGAAGGCCAGCATCCTGAGGTAGCTGAATTATTATAGAATTATACTCTAGACTGGTTAGTTTTACAACCATACTTAATTAATCTTTTCGAGAAGAAAACACATTTCGTAATTTTGGTTGACATTTCATGCGTTAGCCCACCTACTTTAGGTGCACACTTGTTAACAATGTGGCAAACTTGCTCGGCACCTATCACACTCTCTCCTCCCTTATTCTTCAGGCTTCGAAGACATTCAGTATCACGACGACCGAATATGGGCTCGGTCGCACTGGCTGGAAACTTTCAACAGTCAGTTTGTCTGTGCTACACACAACTTTATCTATGTACAGTGCACTAACTTTCCGCAGAAACTCGGTTCGGACCTCCTGTTCGTGGTGGCACAATACAGGTCATTAAGTCTGACTTCAGGTCCTCCAGCTAACGAACCCACGTGCTAACACAGGACTTAAGATCGTAGACTACTGATTATGGGAAAATCATGCAGTTCGACGGCACATGATGTCAGAGAGAGAGCGAGAGAGACACGCTGCCGCTATTGCTCTGAGTACCCCATCGCTGATCATTGTGCAGAGAATAGGTGTGTGTGCGTCACGCGCAGGAGAGCTGTTCAGATTTACGCTCGACCCCGCCTCCGACCTTTCAAACTCCGTCTTGATACCGGGCTCAGGATGGTGGGGGAGGAGGGAATACGACAAATATTCTGCGCGCTTTTTTATTATCATAAACCTATTCCACCATTTCCTTAGGTGTAAGATCAAAGATCAAAGTGAAGACCGAAATCGTGAAGCATTCTCTGAAATCGTAGAACACGATGTCAGTTAAGAAAGGTTACTCAAGTAAGACCGTAGTACAGAGTAGCATACGGCGTACACCCCGGCATGCTGCTTTTAATTGCGCGTCCGTTGGCCATCATGGAAAACCTCTTTCTATTAAAACTGACTAAGTAGATTGCATGCATTTTTTCAACTGACTTTTATGCCCGCGTAGACTGAAAGATATTTTTCTGGGAAGCATGCATGCAACAGCCCTGTTGTATTTGTTTTCCAGTGGAATGGTGCATGCTCAAATTTACTAGAAAAATAAAAACGGCGTTTATGGATTTTTTTAAGGACGAAAAATGCTTGTCTAAATAGCCCGAAATTTGTGCATGAATTAATACTCCCTATGGAGAATACGAAAATTTTATAAGACCTATCTGCTACTTTCTCAATAACACAGAAGAATGCTTGATTTTTCTTAAATTAGAAGTGTGCAGTCATGGCAGGCATAGCTGAAAGTTATTCGGGATGTGATAGTAATTTTATAGCAGGACAACACAAGCAAGATGTGGTTTTAAATTACCATACAACAAAAGGGATTCCAGTTTCTATGTGTTTCTTTTACAGTTTGTTAAGCCTTTTGAAGGAATCGAAACCCAAAGAAAAGGCAATGCTGTTTAAGTAGTCACATTCAAATAGCATACTCTTCGCAAATCGCCAACGTACGTACCTGCCTGACGTGTATGAATTCATCTAGCGTTGTTTTTGTATTGCGATCACGCCTTTCCTACACGATATCGCTTACCTTACTGCTCACCGATATACATAGGCTTGTTTGGAAAGAAGACAGCGCGACCGCTTAACCACTAATTTCTGATGCACCTCAGACGTTAGGTGTGAATTCATGGGTAGCCAAAAACGTTTCGAAGTTAAACCGCCTTACCTTATACAGGATGGGTGGTAATTAATTTTACAACCAAACTTGGTTAATCCTTTCGAGACAAGAACGCATTTCGAAATTTCCGTTGACATTTCACGAGTTAGCCCACCACGAATTTCATTTGTCTGATGCATCTCATACACCTTATACAGGCAGCTGTGCACAAAACTCCAGAAAAGATACCTATTCACGTGTCCTAGCCCTGGCGCCAACACTTACCCAAATCTAAACCTAAGCCGTAGCCCCAACCTAACTCCAACACCGACTCTCACCCGCATCTTCTGGAATTCAGCACACTGACAACAGTAGGGTGCATCTCATTCCGGTGGCTAGCGCGAAAACTGCCAAAAGATGCAGTCGTAACTGACATAATACTTAATGGTAAAGGGACGCTCACAGATCGTTCTTACGGAGCTCACTCCTTCTTTTGTGCCTTGCGGGCTCGCTCTCTCGAGCCCAACCAGCAGCCACACAGAGACGCATGATAAAGGCAGAATGATATTACCGACAAAGACAAGAGAGACTAGAATGACTATTTCTGGCCTATCAGCCGTCGTCAGCCAGTCATACCCAACCCCGAAGTG